TCAGATAAGCAAGAATGGGAAAAGAACATTTCTCAGCAGTTGTAGTTACTGGCAGAGTATTGTAACAATGTACTGGTAAATCTCTAAGAACAGTGAGTCAATGGGACCAGAGTATCAATAATGTGACTATCTGTGGCCTCTTTTGTTCCTAGTGCTCCCACCATTGCTGGCACTCACTCAGAGACTGAAGCAAATCCTGACCTTTTCTAAATCTGCTTTGTTTGGCTGCTAGAAAATCAAATAGCAATTTTGGTGGTTTTATTTTCTAAACTGCAACGTTCTAATGAACCCGCAGTTGCTGTGAAGGAAGGAATTGACACCTGCCTTGTCACTGTTGTTTCAAAGTTTCGAGCTAGTACGTAGCGCCTCTTTTTTTCTTTTTCTCAATTCTCTTGTTTCTGATGGTTCCTGGTAGGCAAAACATAGGTATTCAGTTACTGTTTAACCCAGCTAAAGACCGCACTGGCTAACAGACTAAGGCAAGTCTTTCCTGTTTGTGTTCCAGCTTGTTGTGGAAGAGCTTCCCAAAAAATGCATTAAATCTTCTCTCACATAACCAAACCTCCTATCATTGCTCGTCTGTGCAGTGATTGAAATATTCTGTTTATATTATGTAAAGACTTTATGATTTCAGAATAGTCTTTATAATTCAATGTTTTAAAAAGATTTCTTTTCATTCATTTTGCAATTTTTCATGCAATATGTTTGGGATTTTGGGGGGGATTGTTTTTGAAAAGTAAGTGCAGTTTGAACGAGGGATAAACACATATTTCTTTTGTGGAAAATATAAGGAAGTTTCTTTCGAATAAGAGGTTGAAAATATGAAATACTTTATTAAGTGTCTAGGAACAATTGTGTGGTAACCGCTTGCCATTAATAATAGTATCTTTGTTCTGTTGAATCCTGATTGCGTGATCCTAAGTGTTCTTCAGCGAACCACTTGTGTCTCTATTAGCCTTGTCACCTGATTGCATCTTAGAGCTGGCCTTTGGCAGATGATTAGCTCGCTACATTACTACTGCACTCTCTTTCCTCGGTGTAATTTCATGCGAACTCTAGCCTGGAATAATACTTCTTTTAAAGTCAAATGTCCAGTTAGCTAATTGAAGAGGTTCGCATTCACAAGGCGCAAATCTAGCGGAGGCTCATCCTATCAGAAATACGCTGCAACTCTTCCATCGGGTTGTGAACGCATTCTGGTGAAAACAAGATCTGTGCAGTGGTAATAGATGGTGTAGGGCATGGAAATCAGATCATTATCACAGGTCAGTATCTATTTTTCTGACTCTCTGGAAGGTCCCCCATAGAGCTCGGCGTGCTAACCTGGAGGAGGGTGAGTCTGTTCCCTCCCAGGAGATGTCCGGCAGTTTGACAAACGCATAGCCTGTATTTTCACTGTGGGGAAATCCCCAACGTAACCATCGTGGCAAAGGGGTGCAGGATCCATGCGGTGTTTGGTGTCTACGTCTACCCGAGTAGTGACAGCGTGCTATCCTGGAATCCTTCCAGCTTGAAAGAAAAGAAAGAAGTAGATGTGCTATATTACCCTTGAACAACCGAAAGCCTTACCTGCCTGGCCACTCCATCATTCTTGGTGCCTCGGAGTGAAGCCCCCCTGCAAGGGCCTTCATCTGAATGCTGCTAAGCAACCTGCTATAAACACGGCAGTACTGGCACATTTCTTGTGCAGCCAGACAAATGCCATTTCGCTTCAACATCTACTATTCAATCCATAAATCTGAGTAAGGAGAACATCTAAAAAAAAACAACCCTGTGCTTATTGTGGGGAAATCATGCCATGCATTAACAAAAGATTGGTTCTTTTTTAGGTTACACTGCCACTTAGAAATTGCTGTGGTATAAACTTGCCAGAGCAAGCATCTAGTGATGAAAAGTGTTCAAAATGATCTCCATATAATTTTATATATACATATATATATATGATCTCTATGTAAAAGATAACACCAGTGGAATAGATTGGTATTTGCAAAGCTGGCAGAGCATTTCTGAACTCTGAAGAAGTTTCAAAGAAATTCAAATTGCTGGATTTAACTCTCGTTTTCCTCTGGAAACCCTAGTTTTTATTAGCCAAATGGGCATTAAGTAATCTCTGATTAGCAGTTCAGTATCTTGCATATATTTTTGTGGAACGCTAACACTATTACTGAATAAGCTAGACAATAGACTGAAGTAGAAAAGATTAAATTTGGACATAAAACGACAGGTAGGCATTTCTGCCTCTTTCCTTTTCCCTGCTAAATTCCAAATATTCTCCTTTTACACCATTTTAAGATTTTGTTTGGAGTTTTACTCAGAGATGATTAAACAGAAATAGCTAGTTATTTAAATATCTAATATATTATATTAGGTTGCTGAAGAATTTTGTAACAGAACATCAGATTAAATATATTATCTGGCACCAACACTGTGTATCTTCCCTCTCCCATCCAGATGCCTGGAAGAAATTAAAACTTGTGTAATAAGCAGCAAAGAGGAAAGTGATGCTTCTGAGGGGAAAAGTAAAATCTTAAACAGCTATTTAGCATAATTTATTACCAAAAGTGTGTGTCTTCTCCACGTGCTGTTACTTTTTGATGTTCCTCTAGCTATTAATATCACATTCATCCAAGCGATGAAGCAAGCAGCATTATTTGGGATAGATAGCAATAGAAGAGGGAGAACTCTAGAAAGTTTATTATAACAAATGCTCTTGGTTTAGTGATGGAATGCATATAATATCTGCCTTTATAATCTCTGGCTTTTATGGCATGTTTCCAGCGATATTATACTCTGTTCGCAAAAGAGATGGGCAAAACCAGGTGTAGATTCGTCTTTGGACACCATGCAGTGCCAAGTGTCTTCAGACATAAGCTTTATGAGATGTGAGACTAAATAGTTCTTATTTTAACCTATCCAATGTCATGCTGGTAAACTTGGTACAGAAATAATATATGTTTTTTATCCAAATAAAATGTTACCCTATATTAAATTCACAAATAATTGTGAAGACACCTATGCTTAAAATTAGCATATATATAAATGGAAAGTTAGTGATTTTTAAAACACATTATATTGATAATGCTTGTCCCTGACAAGCAGAAGTAAATTCTTCAGTAGCTTTGGATACCGTAGAGGGCATTTGACACAGCTAGGTATTTTAGAGATTCCTTCCTTCTGTCTTGGAAACACTGTTTCTCATTCGAAATTCTATGATTCAGTTGTTTAAATATGTTCTGCGATTTTAAGGATATTGAAAATGGTAATATGACTAGACTACCTTTGAAATATCAAGAAAGCACCCCTATTCATCTTTTTATTATGCTACAGAAATTTCTTTTGTAATAAGGCTATCTTGATAAGTAACACTGTGTCACTTTATACTTCTGTATGTACTAAGTATTTGCTTCTCAGTGACTGGCTGTTAATTTGCATGTGGAAAAACAAACAAAATATATTAATGATAATACTTAATTGCATTGATTTTCTAAAAACATAGTAAAAATGTAAAGATAAAGTGAAAATTCCATTTTAAATTCACTTTCAAAGATTTTAATATAATCAGTACATAGTTTCAAGAGACTGTCAAAAGCCTCAGTGCCTTAAAGACCTATTGTAAATCTTTTCACTCATGATCATCTGAAAACATTTAAAACATGCTCCTTCCTGCATGCAAAAGCTTTTGTAATCAAATGGTAGTATCTAATGCTACCTTGTAATCAAATGCAGTACCTATTTTTTTTTTTTGGTAAATATACTGTATTGTTGAAAATGAACATTCTTCAGAAAAGACAGTTTAAGTCTACTATTGAGGTGAGGTTTTAAGAACAAAAGATATACTTGTATCACAAGGATTAGCCTTAGCTTGTCTCCTAAGAGGGGTGGAAGGAGGGAAAGCAGAGTGCATTATTAATGCTGTGCATTTCTCATGTAGTTCATCTATACCTGTCTTTCAAATTCAGCTGAATCCATTAAAATTATTAATTGCTGAACATTTCAGATGGGAATTTAATATCCCTTTTTATTTAAGAAGTGTGCAGGATTTTACTGGAAACCAAAAGACAGATAGTATTGACTGAGCTTTCTTTTAGTGTAAGCATTTTGCAGCCTTTTCTATATACACCCTTAAATTCCAGTTTGGTTTGACATTGCCATACAAAGAGATTTGCCTTTCTGTATTATTTCAGGGATGATGGCTAATAGATTTTTTTGAGAGAACAGTTACTGGATTCTAAGATTAAGATATTTTTCATTTTCTCCATAAAATATATCAGAATTCTACCTTTGTGTGTCCTTTTCCAGTCTGTGTCAAGACTATATTCATGACTTAGGTACAGAAATCAAGATCTGAAATAATTAATTTCCCTCTACAATCCTCTTTTTATTAAAGAATTGAGAAGGACTTGGCTGTATTGCCATCAAATATTTGGGTTTTTTTCCTGTTTCCTTGCTTTCCACTGGAGGAAATATATATCACAAATTGTAAAGTGTAAATAGCTGCAAGACAGAAAAGGGGTAGCCAATGAAAACCTAGCATTGTGGTCAAAAAGGCCTTACTTCAGCAAGATATTCAAGGATGTGCAAATAAACTTGTAATTTCAAATATATAGATATTTTTTAATCTAGTAGAACAGTATCCTGTTTGCACAGCCATTTCGTAACACACTTCTTATAATTGCATGCAATTACAAATTTTAACAGGTTATTTTATATACTACTGCAATATGTAACCTTCCTGGAGAAAAGTAAAAATCCCACAGAATGAGTGAGATGAGCCAAAGATATAGACCTCATTTGCAAACCATGACTGTGAAATGGAAGCTGTAGACTTTTAAAGATATATTGGTGTTACTACCAAGGCCTGAACACATCCAAATAGGTGCCCTGACTGAGTTTAAATTAGCAGTAGTAGAGTCACTGCAATCAAGACTGAAGCTTTAATCCATGATACTGTAATGTTTTGTTGAATAATTCTAATGAAGTGCTTTACTTTTCTCTGGCAGATGAACGAGAAGATGTTCAAAAGAAAACTTTCACAAAATGGATAAATGCACAGTTTGCAAAGGTAATTAAATACATTTCTCACTTATAAACCAAAATCTGTTTTGTATATTTTGCAAAAAGTTCATGTTCTTCAACTGAAGCTTAATTTCCAAAATAACAGTTGTTAAGTTTCAGGTATTGCTTAATACAACTAACTGATTTATTAAGAAAAAAGTGGTAGGTGTATTTCCTTGAACTCAATAGAAATTGAAGTGTAAGAATCCATCCTGTCTATTCTTGGACAGCTCTCTCCCTAATACATTACTATTTGTGGGGCTCCTTTGTTATGCTCCCAGTGCACGCAGGAGTTTCTTCTGTTGGGCCTGTCTTTTCTTGTTTCCAATTGCAACCACAAATTTAACAAAAACAGCTGAATTAGAGGGAGAGGGGCAAGGTAAAAGATAAGAGGTGTGATCAAGTCAGCAAATGATGAAAATGTATTGTAATAAAGTTTTGGAATAGTTGTCTGTGTGAATTCTTAGAGAATAGTAAAGACCTCAGATGTACCAAAGAAAAGGAGAAATAACTAACTCATTTAAAGGAGACTCCCTGGCAGTATTCAATAACTTTGTCTTTAATAGCCAGGAAAATTTGAGATCAAACTGCTAATTTGATTAAACATTTTTGAAGTTCCTAGAGGATAATTACCAACCTAGATTTGCCAGTAATAAAAATAAATCAACCAGTAATCTGTCATTTTATGTGCTAGGGAATAATTGTCCTACTAACTAGACAATAATGAAATAGTAGTTGTACTATATCTTGTGTTTAGTCATACTTTTAATGATGTCTGATTTGATTCTCCTCATTAAAAAGGAGGAGTAAGATGGTCCGAATGTAACCACCATGATGCTGAAAAATACGCTTAGCAGTGATTCAATCAAACAAGGTGTTCCACAGGATTTTTCCATGGATCTGGAGTATTTTCTAATAGCGATTCAAATGATTTAGAGAGGACACATCTTTGTGTTCAGCATCTGTGTAGGCGAGACGGCCAGGCCTTTGGAGGACGGCAACAGGATGAAATATAATTATGAAGAAATGATCTCACATTGATCAAAGAAATATGAGACAAGTGCAAAGTATTATATTTAGGACAGTAAAGTAAAATGTATGCATATCAAATACGAGATAAATGGGCTGGTAATAATAAAGCAAAGAAAAGCTCTGGGGAGTGTGGTGAATCACAAACAAAATGAGTCAGTAACATGGTACTATTGGGGAAAGAAAGTCAACTTTTTTATGATTGTAGTAATGGAAGTGTTTAACAGAGGATAAAAGATGTAATTATTTTATTTTACTGGGCAGTAGTGAGACTTTAGTTTGAATACTTTGTCCAGTTTGGTGCTCCACATGCAACGAAATAGCCAGAGCAGTGGTCATCAAATATAAGCTACTCTGAAATGTATTGTCAGTTAGGCCTGGTTAGAGGAGTAACAGTGGTCACAGAAAACTAAGAGAAATTATGGCTTCTATACTTAAAGAAAATGTGATGTTCCTTAATGTTGGTTGCTCAAAAATGATTGCTTTATGGAATAGCGAAGCTTTTATCTTCTGAGGAAACCTGGAACAACTCCACAAGAGAGTCACAAGGATTATGAAAGGTTTAGAAAATACAAACTATGAGAAAAGAGAAGTCTGCAGGAAATGCTAGCATTGGGAGGAAGAGAAGAGGAGTGATACAGGTCTTCCTGTTTGAAAATGGTTGCTTTAAGGTGGCCTCAGATCTGTTGAGGACAGGACAAGGAGATTGAGATAAATGAAACAAAAGAGGTTTAGGTTTTGCATCAATGTAATTTTTCTAACAACAAAGTTTGTGAAGTACTGGAGCTGCCCAGGAAGCTAATAGATTCTCCTATATCTGGAGGTTTTTAATAGTAGGTTTGATAGTCATCTACCAGCAATGATCTAAGTGTGCTTCATCTAATTCTTGTTCAATGGACTGTACTTAAATAGTATCTTTAGACACCTTTCAGTTCTATAAATAGTATTTATAGATGTATGTGAACATGCATTCATAAACATCTCAGAGAGCTACTAACCTCCTATTTCATTAGGACTCTGAGAAAAACTTCCCAGCAGTATAATTCAAGTTTTATTCTGCCATGTGTCACCTGTGTTTTGGGTGGTGTCTTTTGTAATGTCAACTATCAGTTCCATGAAAAAAACCAACAACAAAAACCTTGATCTTTAGATCTTGGACAAATTGCTATCATCCACACAAACTGTCATGGATAACATCAGAATAGTTGGTCTGAAATGTGAAATTACATGTGTCTCGTAAGCTCAGTGATACCTGCTGGCTGCATGTGTGGTACATGGCACAGAAAGTATGGTGGCACCTCAGTGCACAGGTCACATAGCATAACATGCAAGCTTTATTTTTGTCTAGGGTTTCCAGAACAAAAATATGGGAGGCCCTGCTCCCTTCCATATATATGGGAGATTCTGCTATAAGACGTCATAGTTCATAGCTGTGTAGTGTCCTCAGATTGTTTGTCCTGCTTCCAAATACCAAGAAGTTTTAGGAGAGGTGGTCTTCAAAGTACAAAAGTGTTTCTCCCGTGTGAAATCTACAGCTTATCCTTCTTCTCTCCTGACTTGTCTTCTGTGGTTCAAATCTATCTCTGTTTTTAGCTGTAGAATTGCTTTCCATTAACGGACTATTCCTGGGTAGTAATTTCTTGCCATTGTTAGCTTTGTAAAGTATTAAATAAATACACTTCAGCATAGGACAGGTTTGCATTCACTGTTTTGGGGTTCTAGAGGTACTGTCTTAAGCAGATTAGCCTTAGGGGTCTTTAGTAAGATAGAGGAATATATTATGTCATTCATTTCTCTTGCATTCCTCCCCTGAAAGTTCAGTGTCCAGACTACCAGCCCCTGAGTACATTTATTCTCAGATTAAATTTTGAAAATACTCAACTTTGCAAGCTACTTTCCTGTTACTAGTAGCTGTAAATACAAATAGTGTTTTTGATGTCAAAAATAGTCAATTGTTGTAAAGTAATTTTTCTAATTTAGGTGTGGTTAGTATAACCTAAGAACTCGTATATACTTATCATTTGTGTTAAAGAATCTGCTTATTGGAGGCACGGATCTGGAGGGAAGTAGTGGTTCTTCTTCTGGCCATGCATGACGTGATGCCTCAAGTTCAGCAATAAACTTCTGCTATCTCTTAGCTAAAACCTTAACACAAAATCCCTAACAAACTCGCGAGCTCACCATCGTGGAGGTTTTCTGTCTGTGATGCACAAACCCTAGCAAACCTCTGCACTGCTACCATGAAGCCTGTGAAAGGGTATCTAGGAGAAGCCGACAGATCTATCAGCAAGCTGACAGTTGCAATGGATGAAGCAATGTCTCTTTTCAAACTTTTAGGGGGGGAGGGGGATTGGGGATGCTCTAAGCCGAACAGCTGTAAAAAATTCCATTGCAGGTCTCTATCTAACAGCTTCGCAAAAGAGCAACTTGCTCTGTAATTTCTACTCCCTTTACTATCCAGAAAGCAGGTTATGCAGAAAATCTGCGGTTTAAAGTTTGGGATATGTGACTCATCTAAATAAGCAATTCATCATTGTGTCAGTAATGCAAGCCAAACTTTGCCTTTTAGTATTTGTGAGATACAGCTCTAAGTAAATCAAAAGTGCAGGAGAAACTGGAGAATGTAATCAGACCTTTGTTGTTTCCCTGTTTTAACCATTAGACACCATGTCTGTGTATTACTTTATTTAGTGTTACTTTCTTTGTACACCATCTAAATGACATGCGATAATTCGAAACATAAAGCAGCTTTTAAAATGTGGAGCATATTGCTTTAATATCATTTTGTTTAGAAAGAGCTTTTCTTTGTACATCCTCCAAAGCAGTTTATTTATGAAGTCATGAGGTTCTACAGGGTGTATATAATGGTAGCAAAGGAGCGTGTTGTAACCTAGCTCTTAATAATAGAACTATAATTAGAGTGCTGATAAGACATGTATCTAGTCCGGGGTATGATAGCTCTTGCTCAGATCTCAACTTTTTAATTTGAAATGACTTTATAAATGAAACACTGAACCATAACTGTATATTTTGGGATAATACAATACATCAGGAACGCCCAAATGTAGCAGCTATCGGCTGGAACTTTGAAACCGCTACAGCTATACGTTAACAATGCCTGTACCAAATTCTAAATACACATATATGGCATCACTGGTCATTTTTAGACATTAATTCCATAATAGGCTTTAAAATAGAAAGCATTATTGAAGATGGACATTTTCTTTACTTTCATGAAGGAAAGAACTTGTAAATGACAACTAATTTTAAAGTTCAAACCTGTCTTGAAGCTTCCAGCACAAAAAAGTTGAAATCATTTGTGTTGTTTCCTTGTTATGGAGAGGTTATCTCAAAATACTGACATTTTAATGTCAGTAATAAAAGTATCTGCCATGAGAAATAGAGACAAAGCAAGCAGCTAAACAACATGAGTTTTGGCAGCTTGAATTTTAGATTATACCCTTATGGCTAACTGGAGGTTTTGAACTGATGTTCAACAGCTTAAGTGGTAAGTGGGTTTCATAAAAGAATGCTAATTTGTGAATGAGTTTGCTACATTTTAATCTGCAATATCAGGAAATAAACATTCATAAAATTGCTTTGGAGTTTTAAACTGATTGTCTATATTTTTGCAACAAAAGAGCAGAAAATTCCAGTTCATAGTCAAAAAAAGACACTATATATGACAGTGCACTTTTTCATGAAAACACAGAGTTACTAATTTTCAATGAGGTAGGAGCAAGACATAGTCAAAAACTAAAAAACCGTAGATTGGAGGGGGGGGTAAACGGGTAATTTTTAGAGTTTCTGCATGTCATGCTTTGATTTTTCCTCTTAGTTATTAATGCAAAAAGGACAGAATATGAACATGATAAATTTAAAGCTACCCAAAATTTCATCATATCAGTTTCATGGAAAACCAAAACCATTCAATAAGGAATCTTTTTAATGGAAAATGCAAGTTACGAAAAGTGCCAA